AGTGATGTTCGAGCACCGAGGAGCGAGGAGTCCCCGGCGTCGCTGGCGATGTCCGAGCACCGAAGAGCAAGGAGTCCCTGGCGTTGCTGGCGATGTCCGAACACCGAGGAACGAGGAGTCCTCGGCGTCACTGGCGATGTCCGAGCACCGATGAGCGAGGAGTCCCTGGCGTCGCTGGCGATGTTCGAGCACCGAAGAGCGAGGAGTCCCCGGCGTCGCTGGCGATGTCCGAGCACCGAAGAGCGAAGAGTTCCCAGCGTCGCTGGCGATGTCCGAGCACCGAGGAGCGAGGAGTCCCCGGCGTCGCTGACGATGTCCGAGCACCGAGAAGCGAGGAGTCCCTGGCGTTGCTGGCGATGTCCGAGCACCGAGGAGCGAGGAGTCCCCGGCGTCGCTGGCGATGTCCGAGCACCGAAGAGCGAGGAGTCCCCGGCGTTGCTGGTGATGTCCGAGCACCGAAGAGCGAAGAGTTCCCCACGTCGCTGGCGATGTCCGAGCATCGAAGAGCGAGGAGTCCCCGGTGTCGCTGGCGATGTTCGAGCACCGAGGAGCGAGGAGTCCCCGGTGTCGCTGGCGATGTCCGAGCACCGAGGAGCGAAGAGTTCCCAGCGTCGCTGGCGATGTCTGAGCACCGAGGAGCGAAGAGTCCCCGGTGTCGCTGGCGATGTCTGAGCACCGAGGAGCGAGGAGTCCCCGGCGCAGGCGACGATGTCTGAGCACCGAGGAGTTCTTGGTGAAACTGGCGAGGTCCGAGCACCGGTGTAGCTGGCGATGTCCGTGCGGTGAAGTATGCCCACTTAGTCCTCGAGCACGAAGAATCCGAGCACCGAGGAGTAACCGGCGTAGCTGGCGATGAAGTTGGAGCAATGAACAGTCTGATCAACTGGTCGGTGGCGAAGTGAGCATTGAGTAGAAACTATCGGCGAACAGTCCGATCAACTAGTCGACGACGGAGTCCATGAACCAAGTGGTCCGACTAGTTGATCGGTGGAGAAGCCCGAGCACTAGGTGGTCCGATCACCTGGACAATGATCCTGCAATACAAACATGTAGAACGGGTAGTACATGATGTAAACATATATGAAATCCAGAGAAAAAATCAGCAATGGTGATGAAACGGCGTATGCAGTTCGACGATCAGTTGGTGTGAAGATGTATTTATATTTAATATAAACCGCCCGACCAGTTAGTGTGTAGCTGAGTCTCCAGTCCTAGCTAGCCCGTTAACCACAACGCGGAGCGCGGAGATCGTGCACGTGTAGGAGGAACAGGCGTGACCAAGGAGCCGTTGCCGACCACCCATAACGCAGAGCGCAGAGCCCGTAGCACGTGTAGGGAGGAGCCGGAGACAGGGCCATCTCTGGAGGCGTCCGAGCATCAACGTGACTGTTCGAGGGTTCGGAAAATCGTTTAGAGAGCAAATATGGAGAAAACAGTTCGGAGAAACATTATGGCGATATACAGAGATTGGAGAATATTTAGAAGAATATTAAAGCGTGACTTAGCTTTGGACGGAAAGTCTGGTCGGCGACGTATGGCGTTATCTGGTCGGCGAGCACCTGGCGGGCAGTGAGTTGTTGGTGAAGGCGACCTCGGAGGTGGTTCCGAGATCAGATCTGCTGTGGCGGGGGCTGGTGTAGCCAGCTATGAATCATCGTCGTGGACCGGCATGGAACTCCACGAGATTGATGACGAGAACACGCTGTTAATTTGAGGTCCATCTGCCTCGCCATGGATCAAGCGCACACCCCTACATGGCGCGCCAACTGTCGACAGAATATCGTCGACAGTCATCCGAGGGGTATCCCACGAAGGTAGATTTGTCGGTGGGGATGCGCGTAATTAGGAACCAGATGGTGACACAAGGCGCAGAGACAGCGATTTAGACAGGTTCGGGCCGTTTCATCGACGTAATACCCTATGTCCTGTGTCTTTGGTGTATTGTATTGAGATGTAGTAGATAGATCTGTCCAGTAGGGGACCCTTGCCTCTTCTTATATACTCTGGAGGGGTAGGGTTACAAGTAAAGTATCCTATTTGGTACTATACAATAGCTTGCGGTGCACGTCGAGCAGCGCCGTGCACGCCTTGATCTTGTGGGCCGGGCCATCTCTGATGGTGCGGCCCATGTCTTGTCTTGAGGATACCGGAGGCCATACCCCCCACACTTATAACTTACTTCATTCACCTGATTATGTCATATAAACAAAGTTATTTCTTGATTCGTTTCGAAGTACACTTTTCTTATTTCACTTCAAGAACTCTACAAGGTTTTTTATTAGCAGTACTTTTGTAAGTCACACTTGTATCTTTTCTTATCTTCTGGTTATTATTGACCATGACAATGCATTTCTATTGTGCCACGATCAATACTAGGACAGCGTAAGAGCTACCCAAGCTTCTCTCGCTATGCGGGATAAAAAACATATGAGTCATCACAAAACTTCTCCCGCGCATGCAGGATGGACTAGCATAATTACTATGCCAAAACTTCTCCCTATGCGGGATACATCTATACGAAAACTTAGTCATGACGACTAAAACATTCATTTATACTTTATTTTCCAATTAAATCTTCCCGTTGGTTCCAATTTAATTAGAAAATTAGTAAACTAACAAAAAAATTATCCTGAACTGGCTTGACTCAAGCCTTTTCATTCACATACCCCATCATTGTAGCCCATTGATATGCAGTCGAGTGATCTCGGCGGTTTAATAATAAAACTTACAAGATACTTCTGCATCAATTCTACATCATCGTTGGACAAAAAAAATAGAATTAATGCATAAAAACTCATAAATTAACTTGAAAGACATAAAACTACTCTTCAAAATTAAATTCTTCCATTGATTTCGAATTTAATTAGAAGATAATCAACTTCATTGCAGCGGAAACATATTAATAAAATACATTCTATTAGTTCATGAGCATTTCTTAGTCCTTATCTACTATCTGGAAAATTGATCATGTTTGTGTGAATTTTATCAAAGATTTAAACCTCAAACTTGAACTCATTATAATATTGTCATCATCAACGTTGGGCAGCAAATGATAATACCATAATCTGACTTAAACAAAACGGACTACTCCTCTAATTTAAATTTTTCCGTTGGTTCTAATTTAATTAGAGGATAAACATAATCATAATTTACTAAAAGTAACTGCTCTTCAAATTAAATTCTTCCGTTGGTTCCAATTTAATTAGAAGATAATTAGCATTAAACTTTGCAGCGGAAACATGAAAAATAATTTATCTACTTTTCAGAAGCATTTCACTGTACTCATCTACTCTCTAAAAAAATTATCATGTTGGTTCCAATTTTGACAGAGATTTAAACTAGACAAAAAAATCATCAAAATTTGCTTCTGAAAATAATAAAACAAAACTCAATATTTAATGTTCATTCGGCCCAACAAACACCCAGACAGCAAGGCCCAAGAACTTCGCTCTACCATGACAAGAACTCCACTACGACGTACTGCTCAACCTAGTAGCTGCGCTAGGTCCATAACTTTGGGTCAGGTCGGGATTTCCATTTCCCGCCTGAGCTCTATTCGGTCTAGACGATCTTGGGCGCTGGTTTCCATCCGATAGCTAGGCGTCAACATCGCGAGATCAAAACCCGTCCGTGGCTCATCCCAAAACCCTAGACTCATTGTTCTTCACTCCTCCCCTCTCCTCTTTCTGCGCCGCACCTCCGGGCGAGTGGCCCGCGTCGGCGGCAGCCGCCGCCGGCGGCGAGAGGTGGCGCCGCCGAAACAAGTCCGGTCGGCTCCCTGCCTTCTTCCTCTCTCATCTTCTCATTGCCACATAGAGCAGCTAGCCAAGACGGGGAATGGCAGCGCCGCCGTGAGGCCATTCGCCGGCGCGCGCCGCCGTAGAGCAGTCTTTGGGCTGTGCTCTTTGGCCTGCGGCCCGTGGCAGAGCCTACGCGGTGACCTCGAGAATGGCGGCGTCGACGTCGGTCCCCTCGCCGGTGCGCGCGCTCACCGTAGGGTGAACGCGCCAACATCGAGCGGTCTAGCGATGGTGCCTCGAGCACGCCAGACGCCGCAAGACGGGAGCGCCAACGTGGCAAGGGCTCGGGTCCTCCCCACAGCGGCCGGAAAGCAATGGCCTTGGTTCTGTCTTCCCGCGCCACGGCGGTGGAGACTTCGACGGAGGAGTCCTGGCGAGTTCCCATTTTTTTCTCTTTCCATTTTCTTTGGGTTAGGGTTTCGAGATTTTGAAATTAAACTGATCTCCTTCTGATTTCTACTCGGATTCTACCCCAAGACCATAGATCTACGCCCCAGTAACATGGCTTTGGTACCATTGATAGGATCGAAAACACTTCTAGGCGTAGATCAGTGGGTAAATTACTTGACTTAGATAGACTTGGTGATATACCTCGCCACATGTAGTCATTGCCATAGTGTCAGCAATGACGCGGGCGCGCCGGTGTATGGCAAAGGTGCTGGTAGCGATCTGATGATGGCGGTCAAGGCGATGGGAGGTGTATCGGTCCGGTGGTGACACTTCTCGCCGCTTCAGCACTCCCTTGATCGGTAGGGTTAGGGCAGTAAGTGGGGATCATGGCGGCTATAGTGAACCTCTTCTCTACGCCCTGGCCTCCACCTCCCTCTATATAGTGCTGCGCGACGGTGATCCACCAACCTTGGTTTGGTTGGATGTCCCCGATCAAAGCACTGGATCAAGACCCGACTCGACCGTTGAGCCGAGTCGGATGAGATCAACAGTAACAGGTGGAAGCCAAGGATCGTGTCAACCTTGCACTTGCATACAGTTTTTTTTTTCATTTTTCATTTTTGGAGTAAAAGGAGCATCGATTGATTAATCTGAAACGCGAAGAAGTTTAGAGTCTTCAATGAACAATGCGTCTGAAGGTAGCTGCATTGCGGCATTTCCACAAACAAATCGCGTGCGCTGCCATGGGTCGCGAGGCAGCAGTAACAGCAGAGCAGAGGAAGCCACGACCTCACCGCTAGTTACTTGACACTAGACATACGTGTTGTAGAAGAGCCCGGAGAAGAGAAGAATTAGCGCGCTACTGGTCCTCGGCGGCGGCGGGCGCAGGATGAGCGGCGAAGATGCGACGGAGGTGGGACGCGAGGGCGCCGGACGAGTCGGCGTCGGCCTCCCTGCGGAGCACGTCCTGGAGCTCCCGCGCGCGGACGGAGAGGTCGTCGCGCTCGCGGCGGAGGTCGGCGAGGCGCGGAGGCGGTGCTTCTGGCCCAGGGACCGCAGGCTCATCATGAAAACGCCCGCCATCAGGAAGAGCTGCACGAACCCGTCCTTGCGCTTCGCCGCGTTCGCCAGCAGCCCCGGCGGGCGCCGGCCCCCGAAGCCGCTGCCGCTCACGTCCGCCATCTCTGCCTGCGCCTGCTGCGGGGTTGGGCTCTTCTGGGTTTTGGAACCTGGACAGACAGCTGGTCCCACTAGTCAGTGTCTCAACACATTATCTTTTGGAAGAAGAGCTCTTTCAGGAATTGCAGAGATATAAGATAGTAGTAGCTGCTTACCAATCCACTTATAAGTCATACTTTTTTAGTCAACGAAAATTATTTTTCTCTTATGATAAATCAGTCAACGGTACTTTCAGTCATAATTTATCAGCCAAGCGAATAGGGCAATTATCTTTTAAGAGTGCTTTACTTGAGAAACAATGCAATGCAAGGACGTGATGGTGAAACTGATCGAGATGAAGAAAATTAACCAATGCCAGTTAACGCAGGTCGCTGTGCTTCTAGCTTGGATTCGTCAGGATTCATCCACCCAATCCCAATCCAAGAGGACCACATGAGTTTCACAAATCTATCGAGCAGTACATGACCGCTCGAGCTATCTTTTCAGTAATCAATCAGAAGATAGGCAACGCGCCGAACCAATAAATCTGATCTTTGTCTGGAAATTCAGTGAAAGAGTCGTCGTATCCTTTTCACAACAATGGCCCGAGGCCATCGTTTTTACAGCAGGAGTGTGTATCCAGCGATGAAAGAATGTATCATCATTACTCAAAGGGACAGGGTTACGATCACATTCGTGCAATAATGACGCGGATCACCACGTGCCCAATATATTATTGCATTCCCTATACATATATCCCTTTCGTGTTAGTAGGCAGACATTTAATAAGAAAGATACAGGCAACATGATAACAATTAACAAGTATGAGATTTCAATACGAGTCACACTGAGGCCCTCCTCCTCTAAAATTTACTTCCTATCCCATCAAATATTTAGACACATATATAGAGTATTAAATATAGACTAAAAAAATAACCAATTGTACATTTTGTGACTAATTTGCGAGATGAATGTTTTTGTCACATACCGCAAGAAGGGGTACCCTAAACAAGAAACCAAAAATATTGCTTAAACCTTGCAAAAATCAAAGCCGAAAGACTACCGCAAGGTCTCAGCAGATTTCTCCGATTCGCCCGAGGCCTTGCGCCGAAGCCTCATGCGAAAGGCCAAAAGCTCCCCGCCCCGCCGAGGCCCTCTCGCCGAGGCCCCACCCCGAAAGGCCTCGGACGGGATGCCAATTCTCCGATTCGCTCGAGGCTGGGCTCGGCAAACAACCTCGTTAACTCCGTCCCGACCGAACTCCTCTGACAAAACGTCACATCCGGATTAATACGCCCAATTACTCCCACAAACATCAGCCGCACGCGGGTACAGTGCGGGCAGAGCGACCGACGGGACAGGGGACCGAGCGCAGCAGGGGTTACCTGCCACTGTGCTCATCACTGTGCTCCTTACTGACACCCGTACCGCCTTGTGCTACCTAACCCCTGCGCCAAGGACCAACTGCTCGTTCTCCGCCTCATCCGAGACCCTGTAGTCCAGGTCCCTGTAGTCTCAACAACAGCAGAAGAGCCTAGCTGCTCGTTCTCCGCCTCGTCCGAGACCCCCCGGCAGGGCCTTGGACGTACTATTCTTTCTCCGCCTCGGCCGAGGCCGGGCTCGTCCCGCATCCTCGTCGCCTCCGCCTCAACCATCCCCCTGGCAGGCTGTCACATCCATTTAATACGCCTGAATGCACTGCCAGCACGTCACCACCCACGACCGCGAGGTACAAGAACAGAGCGATGGGACAACGGTCAAATCTCCTTTTTTACCATGCCCTGCACTTTTTCACCTAAACCAGGTCACTATAGCCTCGGAATCAGTGCATAGGCCCAACTGCTCCCTCCAGGGCCTCGGCAAATCAGGCCTCGGCGCGGTCAGCTACAAACACCCGCTAGGGCCTCGGCAAATTAGGCCTCGGCGTGGTTATTTACAACCCGCTAGGCCTCGGCACTCCACCAGGTCAAGAGTCCACCAAAGCACGGCATGTCTTCGGCCGTGGAAGTCATACTGACTAGACATCGACAAGGACCCCCACAACCTCAACCACTTCAAACCTGACCAGCACGGCGCGCCAGACAAGTACAGATCTCCATTCCCAACGCCATGCTGCTACAGGACTAAACTGCAGTATGCTCCACGTGTAGCTCACTCATGTACTCCTGGCTCCTTTCTTGCGGTTATAAAAGGAAGCGGCCAGGGATAGCTCGGGGGAGGGAGAAGGACATACGATAGAACCGCGCTCCCATACTCGCCCTAGACACATCCTGTAACACCCACGCTCCCGGGCTGCTTGAGAGCAGCATCTCAAGCACCTCGCACCGTCCCACGCCGAGACCTGGGACTAGCTCCCTCTCTCACCCAGCTTGTAACCCCCTACTACAAGCACTTCGATGCAAGGAATACAAGACCGATCTCTCAGACTGGACGTAGGGCACCAATTGCCTGAACCAGTATAAACCTTGTGTCTCTTTGCATCACCATCCGAGATTAGGGGCACGCAGTTTACTTTTACTAGTTGGTTGAGGACCCTCCGGTCCGAAAACACCGGCGATTAATGGCGGCGCTGTAGGGGCCCTCTGCGTGTTATCGTGATCGTCCCAACAAGTTCCGGATGGTGACCCCATATGCCCACTACGTCTCGGCACGATGGTGCGGTTTGGGAGCCTAGAATTCATGTCTCTAGGATGTGAGTATGATATGGTACTCCTCACACCTAGAGCCCCACCCGCCGGCGCGACGTCACGCACGGCATCGGGCGGCAAGGCGGCGCGCGCCGCCGCCGCTCTCGTCACGCTTCGCCAGCACGACGCGAAGGGACTACTCCGACGCCACGCGTGAGCTCGAGAGCGCGCGCGACTCCGCCCGACGTCCCATGCCCCATTTGTTGGTATAGAATCTGGTTGGGGACCTGTCTAGCCTAAGCTCAGGCGGGGAAAGACACCGTAGCACTTGGCGACGCCCCGTCGTCAAGCTCGCCCCGCCACATCCTGAGGAATCAACTCGGGCGGAGCGGAGCCCAGCGGTGGCACCATCCCCGTACCCCTTCGGGCTGAAAAACATCGCCGCCACCTACGCTTTCGCTTACGCCTCCGCGCACGCGGAACCCTCGGAATACCACCAACGATTTGCCCTCGACTTCTCCACCACAATATTGACTCACACCCACACTAACTCCTCGGAGGAGGATGAGGCATGGGCCGGAGCGGACTTCTCCGGGCTTCATGACCCCGAGGCTATGCGCCGCTTCTTGACCGCAAGCGACTACTGCTTCGGCTACTCTGACTCCGATGACGAAAGCACTTACGATCCCACTCGAGAGTGTTTCCACGTCGGGCTCGGAATGCCAGGGGCAAGTAATGAGGGTGAGAGGGCAGGCAACCGGTCCCCGCCCCGCCAAGGGGCGGGCGACGCCACACCCCCGCTCGTCAAGCTCCGGGCGGCGCGGAACGTGCCAACGGCATGATTCTTCAGGGCCTCAAGCCAAGGATATACAACCGGTTGAAGAAATTCGGCAAGAATTGGCTGGTCGAACTCCCGTCGGTCATCTGGAGCCTAAGGAATACACCAAGCCAAGCCACGGGGTTCACGCCATTCTTCCTGGTCTATAGAGCCGAGGCCATCCTCCCCACTGACTTGGAGTATGGCTCCCCAAGGCTGCAAGCTTACAACGAGCAAAGCAACCGCACTACCCGCGAGGACACTCTCGACAAACTAGAGGAAGCCCGAGACGTTGCGCTGCTATATTCAGCCAAGTACCAACAAGCCCTATGACGCTATCAAGCCCGGCGCATCTGAAGCTGAGACCTGAAGGTGGGCGACCTGGTCCTGAGACTGAGACAGAGCAACAAGGGCCGCCATAAGCTGACCCCGCTATGGGAAGGACCGTACATCATCGCCCAAGTGCTAAAACCCAGGACCTACAAGCTGGCCAACGAGAAGGACGAAATCTTCACCAATGCTTGGAACATAGAACAGCTACGTCGTTTCTAAAGCATTGTATATATTGTTTCTCGAAATATATTAAAGAAGCGTTCTTTAGTTATTCTAATTTTTCGAGAAAACTCCCCCCTCGACGGGGAACCGACGTAGAAATAACGTTATAAGGGAGACTCGGCTCTGCCTCTATAGAGCCGAGCCCCCCTCGGGGGCTAGAATCGGGGGGAGCCCCCTAAGTCCTAGGCACTATTTTTAATCGTTTTTCGAATAAATTTCCACGCCAAACTCTCTTGCGTACTCTGACAGGCCGTGTGTAAAAATCTAAGGACCGAAAGCGCGCCTCGAGTGCAAGAGGCCGGCCGAGTCACGAGACTGCTTACGCCTCTGAGCTACGGCAACTCCCTCGCCATCTTTCGCCAGAGGGGCAGCTCAGGTTTTGAGGAAATCGTTTGCACAGACCTTGTCTAGAAGCAATGCAGAAGGCAGAGGCTTGGAAAAACGATATAAACCAATTAAAAAAGCGTACGCACGAATACTTTAAAAGGCCTCGACGGCCACAAATGTCACGACACGACAATAACTTAGTTTGTTTACATGGCCCCTTTGGCCCAGGTCAAGGCTCAGGATCTCCTGCGTCGGCGGCGGGCGCAGGGGGAACCACTTCTTCTTCGAACAGACTGGCTAGCACCGTATCAGGGACCTCAGCCGCCTCCATCAGCTTGGTGACCTCCTCATCAGCCTCCTCGTCATCATCAGGCAAGATGTAACCATCGCTGACGACCTCGAGGTTGATGGTGTAGTGCGAAGAGACGACGGCTAGGGCACGCTTGATGCATGTATGCAACGCTGTCCAAAGTCGCTCCCGCATTTGGCCACTCAACGCAGCCAGGCGGCTCCTGAGGGAGCTCCCCGACTAAGCCCCCTCAATAGCCAGAGCCTCGCAGACGGTATGGGCGGTGACCTATAGCGCGTCGTGCTCCTCGATCTCGGCCTCGAGCGTCGCCTGCACTGCGACAAAGGCCTCTGCCACCCGGGAAACCTCCTTCTCCAACCCTACGCCAAAATGAGCAGGATGAGGTTAA